TTGAGACAGGTTCTCGCTATGTAGTTCAGACTGCTCTGGAACTCACTGTGTAGCCCAGGCTGGTCTCGAACTCACAGTGATCCTCCTGCTTCAGCCTCCCAAGTGCTGGGATTACAAGCATGCGCCACCACACCCGGCCTCAACTTCTATTTTTTAAAACATGCCATGCATATCAAATTATATAAATAGCACAACAGTAGGGTTAAGGTAACAAATGAAATACACATACACATACACACACACTAATATAATATTTCTTCCCTCCAACCTATTCTAATAGCTTATTCAATATTTACATGCATAGGCAAAAGCACATATAGAATATTCAGACAAACATGACACAGTGCTTCTCTCAATAGGGTTGCAGCTAAGTATTATCATAAAGGTGCAAAGGGTTATGGAAAGAAATAATTCATTACAACTGACAAACTGGGTGAGGATACTGTGAAGAGAGAACTAGCACAGCCTTGGAAGGATGAGCAGTAATTTGATAGCCTCTAAAACCGAGAAAAGTGTATACTGCTCTCATCTGTTTTTATAAGATAAAAGCAGTGTCTTGAAAATGCAGTCCACGTGGGAATAAGAATGGGTAATCTAGTATGGTAAAACAGAGGGAAGGAACAACACAAGAAAAAACAGCCCAGATAAGGTCACTACAGGCCTAAAACACTATGCTCAGGAGTCGAATATCTATTTAGTCACAATGATAAATCTATCAGTGATTTTTGAGGAAGACTGTGATCCAATCAGTTTAGGGCGAAAAAATGATGGAGACTTTGCTGTTGAGTAGACGAAAGGAGGCAGGACACAGTGACTAGAAAATCAGAAGGAAAAAAAAAAAAAAAAGAGCAAGTGCTAAAAACTGGAAAAAGTAAAGAATATCAGATGACTAAAGTTCCTGGTTTGCCTACTAGCAAAGTACCACTTTTTGGAGAAGGACCACATGTTTTCTAATTATTATGCACCATGTGATTATATACATATTCTCCATGAGACAAGGCAACACATTTTATACATATTTGGTACATAGTATGCAGCATGATTAGATAGAAGCTGAGCAGCTTATTCACTTATCACTTTTGTCTCAATCTCTGCTAAAGCTTACTATCTTTTACTTGGTCATCATTTAAGTCCTTGGCCCTTTCAGCTTCTTACTCTATGCCACATTCTTTTCATAAAATCTCATATGTATGCATGGTGTCACTTACCATTAATATGCCAGAGACTCCCCATTATTTCTATTTCCAGTCCTAAGTTTTCCTTTGGGCCTCAGTCCCATATATACTACTACCTACCTGTGAGTATGGGAAATGTATCCCAGAATTCACATACCAAATTTGACATGATTTTCTGCTAAAATCCAATTCTCTACTAGGGGCTCCCACTCTCAAAATAACAACATTCATCTTATCTCAGAAACTGGAAACCTAGAAACCACTGTTGATACTTTTTTCATTTTTTTGTATTTGATTCCTTTCTTTCTATTACCACATCTTTTCATCTGATCAAGTGCATTTCCCTCTGTGATATTATGTATTTTTTGGTTTTCATGCATTATTCCTGCCTTATAACTCTCTCCAATCAGAATTTTTCTTCCTCAAGGCAGGTCATAGGTACTCTGATATTCCCTTGCCTTTCTCTATAGGAGTTGGTAATAAAGAAATTCTTGGAATTACCTGTTCTGATAGGTCATTAGACTCCTACTTCAGAAGCAGGGCCTTGCTGGGTTTCCCTATCCTGGATCCACAGACTATAGCATTACATTATTCTCTTTTTGTCCAATCACACTTGAACATGATTGTCTGTGCTTCAATCATGCCTGTGCAATGAAGTCTCCATAGAAACACCAAAGAAGAGGTTCAGAGTTTACAAACAGCTGAACACATGGAGGTTCCAGCCCTGCACCCCTAAAACTCCCCCATGTATCACTTCATCTGTATCTTTTCAACATCTTTTATCATAAACTAGTAAGCTGAAGTATTTCCCTGAGTTCTGTGATCTACTTCTAGCAAATTAACTGAAACCAAGGAGGAGCCATGGAATCGTAATTACAGATGATCAATCAGAAGCACAGAGAATGACCAGGGTCTTGAGATTGGCACCTGATGAGGGGAGGGGGAAGATTGAATTTGTGGGATCTGAAGCTGTCTCTCATAGATAATGTCAGAATTAAACTGAACTGAAGTGAACTAGAGGGAGCCCAACTGAAGTCTGCAGCAGAACTGATTGCTGCTAGCTGATGGAGAGAGTGTCCCACACAGTGTGGTCACTGAAGTCTTCTGTTGTAGGGTGACAGCAGAGGAAAATGGTTTGTTTTTCCTACACTTCCTAACAAAGCATCTCACATCTTGACCTCTCCAACTGCATTCCATACAACTACCATGACCTTTCCATAATACAAATCGAATCATGCCTTCCTACTACCACACCACAACTCTTGCACAATACTTCCATATTTTCCCTACACTCTTACAATGAAGTCTAAAATATTTAATAAGGCCCGCCTCTGTAACTCTGCTCCTACACATTTTTTGGACCCTGTGTCACAACTCTCCCTTCTTTTCTCCAGCTACACTAGCTCATTCTAGTTCCTCACACATACTATGCTCTCTTCCACACACAGCCTTGGCAATGCTGTTCTGTCTGAAATACCTTCTGCTTCCTCTCATCTTGTATATCTGAATCTTTAGGGATCAGGTCAATCACAACTTCCGAAGAGAAAATGCCTACTTCTCAAAGCTCAAAGCACTACGTATCACTCTTTTGTTACACATAACCAATTATAAAGATTGCCAGGCACAGTGGTGCACATCTCTAATCCTAGCACTCAGGGCCCCAGGGCAGGAGGATCACTACAAGTCTAAGGCCACCTTGGGCTACACAGTGATTTCAAGGCCAGATGACTAAATAGTGAGACTGTCTCAAAAAAAAAAAAAAAAGATTATTTATATTAAGTTTCTTCAGCTGATGATACACTTCAGTAGTACAGGTATAGTGTTGTGTTTGTTTTTCCTCAACATGTATCCCCATCCTTTTCTCAAAGTGTGATACATAATAGGCTCTCAATAAAAATTAATTGATATATGAATGACTGCATGAGATTAATTTGAATATAGATAATTCTAGGTACCACAGAAGTAGATTAAGCAAGACAGAGAGATGTGAAGCAAAAGATGAGAACAGCCTAAATGGAAAAGACTGTCAGAAGACTGGTACGGGGAATGGAAAGATACTATTTAACACTAGTATACATATACGATAAAAACCTCTGTCCAGATGAACAATGGTGACAGTTGCACAGCAATGCAAATGTACTTAATGCCATGCAACTGTACATTTAAAAAATAGTGAAAATGGGAAATTTAATGCTACATAAATTTTACTTCAAAAAACAAAAGATGGGGACTCAGATTACAGCTCAGTAGAGAGCAATGGACCAGGGTTCCACTTTCAGTACCAGAAATCAAAACAAAAACCAAAAATAGAAACAACAGCAACGAAATAACAAAAACACAAGAAAGATGAGAAGAACTGGAAGTACCTTCAAAGAGGACAGAAAATAGCAGGTAGGGTAAGAGAAGGTAAAAATGATAATGCACTATAAAAAAAAAAAAACAAGAAAAGTTTAGGAACAAGAGGTAGTGTATTACAGAGAAGCTGAGTGTGGTAGGGTAATAACTGTTCTAGGACATAACACCTAAGGTCCCAAGAATCTTTACCTTATCAAAAAATCTGCTTAAAAGACCAGATGGAAAAAAGACGAGTTTAGGTTTTCAAGTTCAAACTTTCAAGAGCCACGTTAGTTTTTCCTTAAAATTTTAAATGGATATATTTATGGCTGTAATGATTGTTTGTGGCATGCAGATATATAATTTAAACATTGTTAAAAAGATGTGGTACTTGACTACACCCAATTTTGGTTTAAGAGTAAATGCCTCACTTATATACTCCTAAGATCTTTAATACCCTTGTCATAATAAAGCAAAAATCACTCACTCTTTTGAGGTGTAACAGCTTTACTTTTTCCCTCAAGAACAGCTTACTAACTGGTAATAGTTCTTACTCCTTAGCATTTTTCAAACCAGGGGTTGGTGAACTGTAGCCTGCAAATCCAGGCTATCACCTGTATATGTAAATAAACTTTTACTTACAGCGATATCCATTTATTATGCATTATTTATGGCCATTAGCCCACAAAAAATTAAACTGGCTCTTTTCAAAAAAGTTTGCCAATCTCTACTTTATATGTTTTAATTACTTATTTTCTGATTCCTCCAATCAGACTAAAAGTTCAGAAAGGGAGGGATTTTTAGTCTAGTATATCCTCAGAGCTGAAAACCTTGCAGAGCAGTAGGTTCTTAACACTTATAATTGGATGATAAGTTCCAGTTAAATTGTAAATTATATTATTTCCAAGGTGAGACAAAGTACTGGAAAACTGTCCCCAGAAATATTAATTTTTTTTTTAAATTATACAGGCTACTGCTTTTTCAGAAGGCCTTCTTTACACAAAAGAAACGTATGATTTTAGTATTAAACACTCACTCAGAAGCTCTACAATAACATACTGTCAGTAATTTGAATATTAAAACTATTACTTCTTATAGCTAACCAAATTTCACTTTACTGTATGGCATTTCAACTGTTTAGCTAATCTCCACACTGCTCCCCCCTCAGCATTTTCAGTTTAAATTCTAACTAAGAGCACACTTTTTTTTATAATAAAACCTAAATGAGCATTTTAAAGTACACAGTTGCTAAGTAAATACAAAACAAAAGAAGACAGAAAAACAAAGATTTTCAGGATTACTAAAAATATATCAATTTCTGGGCTGGAGAGTTGGCTCAGTGGTTCTGCTGCCTGCCTTGCAAGCACATGGGCCTGAGTTCGATCCCCAGTACCACCCCCATCAATTTTTTAAAAAATTAAAGTATTTTTAATAAAATGTTATTAGTACATGTTTGCAGT